TCCACTTTCATGCTCCCCTGATACTTTTTTGAAAATTTTGAATTTTTCGATTTCAGTGAATATCTCCTGAATTGTCATGCTCCCCTGATACTTTTTTGAAAATTTCGAATTTTTCAATTTCAGGGAATATCAATTTCGTAACGCAGAAAATAACATTCACCCCGTCCGCTGATCCCTACGATGCCGCTGGGGTCACTAGTCAATCCTCTTCGTGAAAAACTATCGAGTCGTTGATTTTCCAAAAATTCAAATCCGTGGCGCTCCATTTAAACCGCGAAGAGTTTTCCAAATTTCAAAAATTTCAATCTCAAGTTCAAACCGAAAATCTCAAACAGGAAATCATCATTTAGGATCTACATTTTTCAATTGATCCCCATGAAAATTTAAACAAAGACTGTCGGATAAACATTTAATTATTTAAAAAATTTTATATATTCAAGGGTTAAGGGGCTCTCGAGTGGTTAAATGACGTCCCTGAGAACTACGTTATCATGGCTGCGTCGGCTTTGCTGACAAGCAGTTTACGCCGATTTTTACCGTACATCACCCACAAAGGTATTAGAAGTAGTCAGCTTAGTAGATATATTAACGCAAAGTATTCAAACAACAATTATCAGCCACTGAGGTGCCTCCATCGGTCTGCAACAATGGCAAAGTTTCAGTATCCAGAAACAAGAAGAGACGAGGAATTCAGTGAAAAATATCATGGCATTGAGGTTAGATCTTCAAATTAGTCATTAAATACAACAGTATTATTTAATTCGCGAATAATCAATGGCTTTATCACATTTTAGGTGAAAGATCCGTACAGATGGCTTGAGGATCCCGAGGCTGAAGAGACAAAAGCCTTCGTCGAGGCCCAAAATGCTATTACCAGGCCCTTTTTGAATTCTTGTTCTGTCAGACAAGATATTCATGATCGTCTCAAGCAATTGTGGGATTATCCTAAATACTCGTGTCCTAGAAAACACGGGGACAAGTATTATTTCTACAAAAATACTGGTCTGCAGAATCAGAGGTGAGCAACAATCTTGAAAGATCATTTAGAACGATTTTATCAGGGGTAATCAGTTATCAGATAGTGCAATCGTCCATATGCTTGAGGGTATATTCAAATTTGAATTGCATTGAGTCAGAGGATGAGGCAAGATGATTCACATTATTTTGTAAACATTCCAATTGGGAAATTTCAAGGGAAAACTTGAGAGAACTCTTTGTTATTGTCCATTCATTCCTGGCAAATATTTGTCGAATAAATTCCTCCAATACGTTCCATTTTAGAAATATTTGGAGAACACTTTAAGGGCCGGATGGAGTATCTCGGAAAGATAATTTACTCCAAAATTGGGATTCCTAATTACTCCGCCAATTACTTGTTTTTTCCGATAATTGTTAGCTAGCATTCTAATCGTTGACAACCGCTAGAACTCTAGCTATCAATTATCGGAAAAAACAATTAATTGGCGGAGTAATTACGAGTCCCAATTTTGGAGTGAATTATCTTTTCCAGATAATCAAACCGGTCCTTAAATATTAGTTTTCTATTTGTCTTTCTATCGTTGCACGATAGATCATTCACGTTAAAGGAGAAATTATTGCTAAAAAAATTTGAAAAAATGGGAAATCAAATGAACCTTTAGACGCTTGGACAATTTGGAGATTTGAAAATATAAATTTTTATCAGATGAATCAGTAAAAAATTTTATTTTCAAGCGTAATTTATTATTAAAGAGAGGAATCAAGACGTCATCAGTTTTTTTGAATCGAGAAATGAAAACCATGAAAAAAGTTGTGATATTGATATGTTTTCAGAGGATTAAACTCTCTTAAACTACTTTTTATAAAACTTTTTCAGAAAGGACAACATTTTTCTGGATCTGTATGGTTTTCAGTTGATTATTTGTCAATTATTTTATCGCCAAATGAATAATGAATGAATAATAACCGTGGCATAAATTTTTAAATACTCATTCGAGAATTACGAAAGGAAAATGGCAGGAGAGACTCTGAACGTGTGTTTATTTCTCTTGGGGTCACTTGAATGCTTTATTATTGGTGTAATGCATCTAAATAATTCTGGTATTTTTGCTCTAGTGTTTTGTACGTTCAAGACACTTTGGATTCTGAACCCAGAGTATTCCTGGACCCAAATACACTGTCTGAAGATGGTTCTATCGCTATTATGAGTACAAAGTTCACTGAGGATGGCAGTATATTTGCGTACGGATTGTCAAGCAGTGGCTCTGATTGGAGTACCATCCATTTTATCAACACAAAAACAGGTTTGTTTTTCTCCATTCAACTCCAGACAGTCCTAAACCTCATACTAACCCCAGAAAAACTCAATTACCGAATAAACTACCAGTAAAGAGAAATTTCTTGTTGTTTGGAGATGATAAAATAAATTTTAGGGGAAATTTAATTTTTCTAATTATATGAAAAATTTATTTACCGATCATTTAAATAATAAAATTAACACCAGTAAACAGTAGATGCGATATTAGATTGATTCAATAGATGTACTGATTCTCTTGATAATTAATCATAAATTCCCAGCCAAGAATACGTTTTTTGAAAATTAAAATATTTCACGAATCGCTGATATTAACGAGAAGAATTTCTATTGCCGAAGGAGATGTTAATAAATAATTGATAATACTCAGTATCTAGCTAATCACTCAATGAGAATCATCTTAAGGTTGTTGTCGCGTAGAATTTTTTTTCGACAGTTTTCGTTAAAAATTTTATGGTGAATAGTTTGAAAAATTAGCAACAAAATGAGCCTTTTCCGTTTGCAATTGACCGTTTTGAACTTGAGATATAAATTTTTGAAATTCGAGTGATTTAACACGTGTTTAAATGGAGTTTTGCCGATTAGAATTTTTTAAAAATCAACGGTTCGACAGTTTCAGAAATAAAAAAAAACGTGGAATATACATCGTGGGAAGAAATACAGAAAAAAAAATCAAATCGATTGACCGTTTGGTTTACAGAATATAATTATCGGAAATTCATAAATTTATATAATTGAAAATAGTTAATATGGAAAATATATAGTTATGCTTTAGCTATCCATGCACAATGCAATCAATCAAGTGAGACTATATACCGCTAAAAGATTGTGTTCTAAACTGGCCCGTTTTACAGCGGATAAACTTTTTACAGAGACTGTCGCGCGACAACAACCTTAAGACTAAATTAAATAGAAATGTAAGCATAAATAATGAGAAAATGGTATGTGTCCAAAAAAAATGTGAAGAATTGTAATTAAAATATGATAGCAAGATTAAAAAATAGAATTTTTCATCATTAAATTATGTATGATGATAACGATGGTCTTATGATATATTAAATCTTCATTTGTGCCAATGGTATGTTACTACCTTGCGTTAATATAAAAATCCATTAGAACACAGAATGCAAATTACTAGACAATCTAATTACCTAGTTTTTAAATGTTGCAGGTGAAAAATATCCTGAAGTACTCGAGAAAATAAAATACTCACCTCTGACGTGGACACACGATAATCAAGGAATATTCTACGGAACTTATATGGAACAGAAGGGAATAACCGATGGTTCTGAGACACTTGGTGTAAGAGACCAGAAATTATGTTATCATCGAGTGGGAACTCCACAGTCTGCGGATATTATCGTCGTAGAGTTCCCCGAGGAACCTCTCTGGAGAATGTATGACTTATTTTATTTCATTTTAACTAATCAAAAGTTCCAATGAAGAATCACCAATAAATTTAACAGAAATCAAGTATCATTTCAGAACTAAAAAAGTTTATGATGATTTGTAAAAAAAATATATTGGTAGTCCTTTCAATGACTTGGAAAAAAAGGATTATTCACGAAATGATAAATAAATAAATGAATATGAATGCATGAATGACTTAGCTTCCAAGTTTCATCAATGTACGATTGAAACTCACGCAATCTCCCCTGGATTATTCAATTTATCATTGGTTTTTTTTTACAGTGGAGCAGAAGTAACAGATTGTGGAAAATGGTTGGTGATAACTCCACTGAAAGATTGTCGAGATAACCTGGTGTACTTCACAGCACTTGAGCCCGGAAAAAAAATCGATGGAAAACTACAGCTGACTAAAATAGTTGAGAAATTCGAAGCTGATTATGAAGTTAGTATTCCACTTCATTATGCCCCGACGATAAAAGTCTGATACTTCCGGATAGATTATCTTGAAACAATTCTCTGATATTTATATTGTCCTTGGGCGATAATTCTTCGCAAGAAATCGCATGTTTTTGATTTTTCTCGCAATAAATTTCGTTAAAAATTCAAAAGTTATTAAAAATAATACGAATTATACTAAGATCATCACACTGGCAAATATTCGTTTCAATAAAATCATCGTGGTCATTAAATAATTCACAAAATCCACTAGTTATTATTATTATTATTATTATTATTATTATTATTATTATTATTATTATTATTATTATTATTATTATTATTATTATTATTAT